GCGGCAGCACGGGGTGTGGGTCCCGACCGCCCCGACAGCCGCCGCTTTTCCCTCCCGACAACCCGCCCCTCTGCCCGCCCTTCGCCCGCCCCGGGAACAGCCTTCTCCGGCGCGGGGAGGGCGGGCGGGCGGGGACGGGCACCGGCCACCGCCTTTCCCCGCGCGTCGCCTGCCCGGGTCACGCCAGACCCGCGGGGAAGCCACGGGGCGGGTCCCCCCTGGGATTCCTCCCAAAGGGCAGGCTTTTAACGTTAAACCAGCACCCTCACACCATCTGCACAACACTGATGGTAGCTGGAGCTCCTCGGCTACGGGCAGGCAGACGGGCGGAGCGCTGCCAGCCCCACCGACACCCGGAGCAGACCCGCACCCACGCGAAATTCCCAAATACACAAGCCCCTCTGAGGACAAGGTAACGAAGACCCTGGTCCCAGGATCCTTCTTCCTAGCCCCAGTTCCGTCCACCATCGAAGTAAAGCGCGTGGCTCAGCACTGACAGGTTCTTTGAGGAGGAAGGCAACAGTCATCTCCTAACTTTTAAAGCACCCTAAAGAATAACGGAGGTTAATGGTAGTAACAAGTAAGCATATATTTCCTATGAATCCAAGATCACTACCACTCCAAAATTCTGTCTAAGAAGTCAGGCATATAATTTCTACAGATTTAACTTCAAAGTACTATCTTAATTAGGGTACCAGGATTTTACCAAAACATATGTAGGATGTATGCGATCCCCAGGGTCAGAGATCTCCACATCCCTGGCTTCACACCGTCAAAAAGGGTATCGTACAATGAGGGTGCATCAGCTGTGAGCTTTTGGAATATTCCTACACAGCAGAGATTGGATGTGAAGGAGCAAAAGATCCTGACAAAAGAACTCCATGTGTGTGCGCTCATGAAGCAAGTGAATCGTTTATTTTTCTCTTCTGAAAACTTAAAATGAAAGCACATGATATCACAGACCTAAGTGCGTATAAAAGCATACTAGTACGTGGAATTTTTGGACACCAGTTCTTGAACCCGTTCTGTTCTGGTGTTCTAGCAGTAAGCGCTAACCGATGAGTATTAACTTTGTTATTTACCATAGTGCATAAATAAATAAATAATCAGTCAGAATGACTAATACCATTCTAATTAAAGATTGTTGTGCAGGGGATTGTGTACCGGCAGTGGAGGTTGATGGGAAAAGCCACCTCTGGAGCAAACAACTGCCTGGTCCCCAAGCACCCACCAGTGGGGTGGGATTTCCCCAGTGACAGTTACGGTCAGTGCCCCAGGGGGAAACAGCAGCTGGGGAAGGGGCAGTGACAGTCGTTTCCAGGATGACATCCATCACTACCTACGCATGTACCAGCTCATCTTCAACACAAACTGAAAACTAAAGGGAAGTGCAAATTCACTCAAGGGTCCACCAGCTCCCAAGGGCTGTGCAGGCAGAGCTGGAGAGGCTGTCACTGCAGCACCAGCCCAGGAGCCTGCTGCAGGGTTAGGACTACCTGGTCCTCTACCACCAGCAGGAAGGACACCTCACTGGCAATTTATTTTTAATAATGGGTTAAAAGGTGAGGCTTGGTTGGCAGTTTAGTCACAAAATACATTCAAATATGAGGAAGAACTTCTTTAGGGTGAGGGTGACGGAGCCCTGGAACAGGCTGCCCAGGGAGGCTGTGGAGTCCCCTTCTCTGGAGATCTTCAAGACCCATCTGGATGCAGTCCTGAGTGATGTGCTCTGGGCAACCCTGCTTTGGATCTCTAGAGGTCCTTTCCAACTCCAACAATTCCATGATTCCGTGAAAATCATGCAATGAGTTTTTAACTTCAATCCATTATCAGTTTGTCAGTTTTAAAATTTTCTGCAAATTTTACAAATTTGGACATAGTAATACACATATCCCACTTTTTACTATATTTTTTTTATTTATTCAAGTGTAATGTTGAAAATCAGCCCTCTATAGCTGACTCCTAAATAAATAAAAAAATAGGCACCTTTAAAACTGATTTATTTCACAAATCTCATTTATACATTAGCCATGAGTTCTTTTAGTTAAAAGTATTTAAGTATGAAAGTAAAAAAAAAAAAAACAAACCTGTTTAAAATATAGCTTTTTAATAAAATTCAACAAGCTTTAAACAGACCTGTCACACATTCTCATTAAGCTTTTTCCATAAGGCACACGTATAAACATTTGAAAGGAGCAGTTAATTATAACTTACCAAATCTTTACAACATTTATAAAACTCTATCTTTGGAAAAGCATACAATGAATAATATACAAACATAAACGGCACATTGAAAATTTTAGACATACTGTAAATGAAATCTTTATGCATCCTACCCAGAACTTAGTGCCTTGCCTCCACTGGGGAATAAACTGTTGTTGGATGCAAGGTAGTTTTAAGACTACTCTGCACAAAATATTTAAATGTACTTTTTTGTTAAAAAAAAAAAAAAAGCTTAAAAGTTCCAGGGTAAACACAAACAGTTCACCCAAGTTTTGTTTAAAATTCTTTCTAGTAAAATTTATTTAATCACCCAATGCAAAAGGCAAGGAAAATACTAAGTTGTTACTGGGTATTTTATGAGTGGAAAAGTATAGTTTTCCAAGCAAAATTCACAGAGGAATAAAAGTTGGCTTTTAAAGTGTACAGTGGTTCCTGTTTTAAATTTACCCCAGACAGGACGAGACGCATTTAATCACAGCATCCCTTTAAAAAGAAAGAAAAAAAAAACAGTCAGTTAAGATATGTGTTATTTTCTTGAGATACATATCAACCATTGCATATTTAAAAATATTACATAAACTGAAGAGAAAAAAAGTTTATCAAATACAGGATTTTAACAGCCATGTTGAGTACGTCTACAGCAGCAGCTAAAGCAAAGGCTGCAGCCCACTCTGAAGCTCAGGTCCGCCCATATGGTCCAAGTCTTCCACACTGTTAATGCTCAAGCACATGCTGAAATGCAGCCACCGTGTTAAAAAACTGTTCCACAGCCACTTATTAAGGTCAAAGCCTTATTTTGCAAAAGCTGGCCAGAAGGGGCATGGCTGCAGAGCCTGCCAAATCCAGACAACGGGCAAAGCACAGGTGCTTTGAGTCCCAGCCACAGGGGAGTCAGACCACCAAGAAAAAAAACCAACCACAGCCTGAAGGGTTTAAAGTGCATCTACTAACAGTGAGGGATGAACACTCAGCCTTAAGGTTTGAAAGACCTGAAGGGCTGTACTTAACTGACAATAAACAAACTGTTTTCTGACTTATTCTACTTAGATTACACACTCTAGTCTCCTTTATTTTTCATTTTCTCAAAAATGTAAAAACTTATTAAGGAGTGGAAATTGTATTCTGTTGTCAGTCAATTCAAAAAATGAAGAAAAATACTACTGTGACTCCTTAAAGTCGTTGTATGTATGGGTTTTGTTGTTGTTGGTTCAGGTGTTGGTTTGGGGCTTTTTTGCCATGCCAGCAGGAAAGCCATAATAATAAAAAAAACCCAAACAAATCAAACCCCAAAACCACAAACAAGTAAATTGTTGTTAAGAGTAAACCATTAGAGTTAAACCAAGTAATGGTAATTTTGTTTAAATCAAGATAAATGCATACTTTAAACAATTACATAATACTGGTGTCTGGTACTTAACATGGTTTAGATCACTATTTCGGTGAGAAAGACAACCTATACAATAATTTTATGACAACATTCCACATAGGCAAGTAACTCAATAACCCCTAAAGAAATCACTGTACTACTAAAAGCAGCCTGTGTAAAATTCAGTTCTTTGGCTTATAAAATCTAATAGACAAGCAAAAACAAAGAAATAAGGTGATGCATGTCACCTAATGTTTTTTTGACCAGAACTACTGTTGGTAGGGAAGACCAATGACCAATAGCTCAACTTGCTTTCTGTGCAGAGCAGAACATTTGGAAAAAAAAAAAGGAAAAAAAAAGAGAAGAATGAATGATCCTACTGAGACTGTCATATGGCCACAGGAACTATAGGAATTCAGAATCCTACTTTTGACTGGGTTAGCTTGAGATGTCAGAAATAGCAAGATGACAATTTGAAGCCAGAGTTCAGTTAAAATACTTAATCCATTGTACTTAACTACTATCTTAATAAAAAGCAACCCAAACCACACAGCTTAATCCTCCCTAGATCAATTCTGAAGCTTAAAAAAAAAAATCCATAGTACAGATTCTGTTACAGAAAAGTTACAGAAACACAACAGGAAGATATCAGATGAAAGGGACAGGCGATACTTTGTATTCTTTTCCCCCATTTTCACTACAGAAAACCTCATTAAGTAATATACAGACATGGAAGCACTTTATTTTTTTTAAAAAAAGCACACTGCTGAAAGACCAAACTGTATTTTACATGAAACATTATAGAAAAAATACAGATTCTTCAGTTTGTTTACTTGCATGTGGTTTCACTCTGGCTAGCTTTCATTCCCTTTTTGTACACACAAGAGCTAAAAGAAATAAGCTTGCCAAAATGAAAATTAGCATGAAGTATTGCTTCTGCCTCTCCTAAGAATGATGGAGGAATTCAGAAGTAGACTTAACAGCTGCAACTATGCTTGTTTTTTTGCTTTTAACTAAGACTTCAGATCTATAAGTCACCTTTAATGCCAGTACTGAAAAAGTTCCTATTGCATCAATACATTTATAAATCACTGACGATTTTAAACCAAAACTCAATTTATTTTCAGTGATGAAAACTAGAATGAAATTTAACAAAGAGAACCACTGTGTACTTTACTTGTATTTAAAGCTTATATTAAGCATTATTTTGCATTCAGCTACGTCATTTTCTAAAAATTAAAAGGAAAGGGAGGAGGTTATGTTTTTTCACATACTTAATTTAAGGACTTTTCTCCCCTCTCTAGCACTAAGATATCTGACTTTTGTTAAGATGGACGTAATTATGCAGACTTACCTTGCAAAAGGAATATATGACAGACTATACCTGAAAAAAAAGAAGAAAAAAAGTGTATTTGACAGAGTATTCATGTCTCCTAGAACCCAATTATTTCACTTCAGCATTAATAAATGCAACCTGTTGTAACAAAACTTTAAACAAGATTACCTACTCAATTTAATGCTTACCTAAGAAAAGATGACACACTTGGACAAGAATTAATGTGCTGCCAAGGATTCCCTGGTTTACTTTTTGCTTGGAATTTTTTTTTTTTTTCTTATATAGTTTGTGACTTCTATTTACATAAACTTAAAGCAGATTTACTATCATCAGATTCAAAAGGAATTGATATTTCTGGGAAAACTGTATTCTTCAGTATGATGGAGACACCTTTTTCCATTTTAAACCACAATACACGTTACTATGCAAATATATGTCTTCTAATCGTATTATTTACGTAACTCTAAATACAGATATATGCTGTAGTATCAATAACACAAACAATTGTGGCACTCAAACAGTTCATAATTCTATTATCCTCTGCAACTTCCTCCAGGCTATGTTTTGTTCCCACACCTAGCCTATTCAAGCTCTAGGGCACTTAAACATCAAGGGATCTGCTTTTAACACACAGAACACAGTTTGAGTTGTCGGTCTTCCTTCTGTCCAGTATCAAGCATTTACTAGCACGGTGCCCAACAGTCCCTATCCTGAACAAATGGTTACTTGTCCTCAGATCCAAGTTCAGTACAGACACTGTGTATTCAGGGCAAGCTCAAACACAAACTGCTGTCATCTTGGATTGCCCAAGAGTTAGTACCAAGTAATTCCCCTGGGACAAGGAGACCAAGTATGTTCAGTTGTATCTCCATGGAGAAAGCAGTAACTTCAAAAATGTGGGCCAGGCTTGTGATCAGTCACCCAACTGTGCTCACACGTTCCCGAGCCCAGCCCTTGAGTGCATCTGGATGGTCATCACAGTACCTGCTGCACTAAATTTACCCTCTCACATCCACACACTCTCTCCCCCATGCTGCTAAATATTCTTGGGGCAGGACACACCCTATGAAAATGTCATTTAGCTTCCTCTGCTTCAAAAATTAAAATTTAGTTAGAACTCAGAAGAGGAGGTAATCAAAAGCAGAACATATGAATATAGTTTCCACAACAGAGAAAAGGCATAAGAATTTTTTTGCATATATATTCCTTTCATAATGCCTCAAATAAGTTCATGCATTGCAGAATATACTTAAAATTACCATTTTTGCAAGACGATTGCATATACATTTTGCTGAAGTTACACAGTCTATCTCAGGAAAACAGATTGAGGCTAGCATTTGGGAACACTTAACATTATGTGAAGCATGCATATATATTTATATATATATACACACACACATGTAGGTTTATAATCATGCGGGTGTAGGGGCAGGGAGAAGAAATTAAAATTAACTTTAAGAATCTTACCAGGTCATTGCCAAGAACTGCAATATGCAGAATAACACCGCCAAACCTTTTTTGTTCCACTAAGTAAAAATAAAGCAAACATTGCAAGTTAGTTCAGTCTATACTGTAAACAATTGCAACAGGCTGTTCAGCCAAAAATTTAGTTAATTGACAATACCTAAATTTCCTTGTTTTAACTTAATTTGCTACTCCCTTGCACTCATTTTATCTATCACTCCATTAGCATCATGCTATGAAAACCTTTAGCTTTGAAAACACTTAACAGCATCAATGCTAACACTTTCACTTACATTCACGATACCGTGCTTCTGCAAATGTGGAAGTTCACTTCAGCTACATATTTACTTCTATGGAACATAACTACAGCCAGTTTTTCAATCAAGATGCCTGAAGGTACTTGGTCTGTCTCCCTTCCTTTGTCTTAATGAGTTTAATATTCTGTACCTGTGGTTTCTGAAGACCACTACATATTCTCTGATATCCTCTGACATAAGTGGACACCACTAAGATGAAAAGTATATTTTAACTTGCTTTTCTTAGTTCTTAGTCCAGAGGTCTACAGACTGAATACAATGCTCTAGATTTTGTATTCTCATCTACATCACATGCAGGCAGAAGAGTGTGTTTTGCTTTGTAGCCAGCAGGCTTATCACTCCACCTAAACTCAACTGCAGTTGAAAACACAAATTACACACACACACAAGCTCATCGCTCCTCTACAACTGAACTATATGTTAGAGCTGTAATACAACTGATAAACTAACAAAGCCAGATTGCTCTTTTGAGAAACAAAGTATTCTCACTTACCCAGAATACAGCGCACAGAGTCAATATTAGGAAAAGCTGGGGGGAGATGAAAGGAGAGACAAAACCAAGAATGAGTACTCAAATACACAAGGCAAACACAGTTAACTGTTTTCAGTGTGGAATCAGCATCTTCAGAATTGACTCATGAAACAAGCAGAGTCAAAGGCTGTCACACAGCTGACCATATGCTGAACTCCACATAAAGTGGTGTTTTCCAAAGTACAGTATGATGTGCTCCATGGCCAGAAGGGCTGGAGCACACCAGAAGTCTTAGAAGAAAGAGGACACAGGAACTTACTTCAGGAACCATTAGGAGTATAAATAGGTCTATGTAGCCTTTATGTATTAGGTCTATAAAAAGGTGGGCTTAAATGATAAATCTTGCTTGAAAGCAATCAGGTAGTCTGGGAACTGCTATTCTATTATTTCAGTACACAGTATCATTTTGGATCTAGTATTCAGAACATCAATATCTGACAAGAAAGGTATGTGCATCACCAAAACCAACCCATTATTAAAAATATCCATTCACAATTACAGTATCTGGCAAACACAGGTTCTGCTTCTTCTGCCAGTGTTTTTTCCATCTGACAGTAAAGAAGAGCCCACTAGGGAGCAGCTGCCTCATACACAGTGAAAAAGCTCACATGATGCTTTATTCAAGCTACGCCTTTGATAGAACATTACAATGATATTGTTTACTATGCCAAATTGATTACACCATTTTGCAAGCTTAACCATCACTTTGAACTTTTCCTCTGAATCTCACCCACTGCCTCCGTTTGTCAATACCCATAGTAGGAAACAGAACAAAACTCTAAATTTTCACTGAAAAAATTTTGTTGGCATTTCATTGAAAGAAATAAAAAAGAACAGACTTTCTTGAAGTTTCAAAACTTATTTGTGACTCCTGAGTTGCCTATAATTTTAGCGTTGTGTTTAGATGGGGAAGAAAACAATCAAATACATCAAAAAGTTTTTGAAACTTTAGAAGTTTTCCAGTTCTTCTCTGTATTACTGAAATTTTCCATCCTAACAGTCTTAGCTCTCATCCAATGCTCCTGTTCCCTATTAGATGAAACCTCTCATTCTGCCTTTTGCTAGCTTTGTTGGTAGCTTCTCTCCAAAGGTATGCAGGTAGGTCTGTGGTGTTTCTCTTTGTTATCCTATCCATCCTGACGTGTCTTGCTCCTGCACTCTTCAAAGTAAGTTTAAGCACAGTGGATGATAGGATCATCAGAGCAAATATTTTTTGTGCTGTCTGGTTTAGGACCTCAGCTCGACCAGAAAAAGCCCACAGCTGTAAAGAGTTGGAGAATTCATGCTCAGCAAACACAGACTCAAGAGAATTGGAGATATTCTTGGATGGTTTTACTTTCCTAGGACTTGTAACTTGGTAAGATTTGGAAGAGATGGCAAAAAGTCACCTCTTTAACAAAGCCCAGAGTCCAAGCAACAACTGTGACTTCTCCAAAAGATATGGGCAAACATGAGCTTCTCAAATGAGATTATAACCTTTTTTTCTTCCGTGTGGGTGTGTGATAGAAAGAATATACAACCCATATGAGAGCCATCCAGAAAGAATTCAGCAAGAGTTTCTTACCCACATCAGAAAAGAAAGCTATATGATAGGGAGAATAAGACAGACAACTACACTTCAAAAATAAAACTTGAAACAAATCAGGAGGAACAAGAGAGAAAATAAGTACAAAACAGAAGCAGTGAGGGCAGAAACTACCTCATATAGAGGTTTGGGACAGGAATTCTGAGACTGGAGGCAGGGATGCTTTTTTCATCCTCCTGGAAGAAGAAATGATGGTCATGGAAGTAAAGGAGCCAAGGCCCCTCACAGTGGAGAAGTGTGAAGCTGAACATACAGCTTCACTGACTTTGGGGAGAGAAAATTATTATCTCCATTGCTTTGAAAATGCTGAACCACTAAGCTACACAAACAGAGCTGCAGCCAACAAACAACCGTCAAGCTAGACTTGGTGACCACTGACTTTTCAGGGGAACTCAAAAGTCTCTCTCTAGCCTTGTTCTTGAGGGAATTGTTTTGGAACACAAATTAAAAGTAACCAACCTAATATTAGCATTTAGTAAGAAATAATTAGTAAAGAACATTTTACTTCAAATGATTAATTAAAGAAATAATCATAAGCAACAAAACCACCGGCTCATAGAAAGGAGTTAGACAATCTTTATGATACACAGAGTTAATCAGCTTGACTGTTATTACTAAGTACAAAGAAGAGGTGGACTGAGAAATAATGTCCCTTTGGTAAAGCCTTGGATTTAGCTTTGAGGCTAAAGGAAAACTTTTTAGCAAAAGGAAGTAAAGATAGTATATTTACCAACATCACAATTGTAGCTATTAATCTTTTTGGCTCAAACATTGCTTTCAGTTGCTTCAGTGGCCCCATCAGGAAACATGTACTAATAGGAGAGGAAAAAACAAAACAAATGGTAAACTTCCAAATAAATCATTGCAAAAGACAATAGGTACTTAACCAGTTCTCCAACAGCCAACAAAGGCTTTAAAAAGGGCATTCCAGTCTTTAGCAACAAAGACCTTCTAGATCAATAAGTGCAATATTCCACAAATTTAGTCTTAGGAACAGATTATGTATTAAGTCGCACTTAGTCATGAAATTCTTTCCAAAACACTACCAGTTATAGCAGAGAGTTGTCAAGTTGAAGTCCAGTGAATTTCACGTTGAGGCTGTTCCAAGAACTGACTTGCCAAAAGAATGCAAAGAACACAGACCAAACTTCTGTGAAAAACTTCTGTTTAACAATAAACTTCTTAGGCAGCGTGCAAGTAGCTAAAATCAGTATTACATGGGATTTCTAACTCTTTGCCTGAGTTCAGCAAGGAAAAGAAAGAAGGAAAAACTTCCGTAGTTTGTATTAAATCCTCCTGCTTTCTTCTGCTCTGTAGTTAACTTGAAAGGAGAATGAAAACCATCAGCAACGCTATGCTGTACCTGTTCACACAAAGGAATGTGGTGCGAACCAAGAATTCACAACTCTAGGAGTAATTATCTGGCTTCAAATATTCTGAGATGAGTCTCTTCGTCCCTGTCACTGAAGCCATTCTGCTTTGTAGAAAATATTTAGTGAGACAGTAACCTTGTGGTGGTCCGAACGCTTTACTACAGAACAGGAAACCTAGTTAATATTAAGTTAACCTAGTTGAGAACCTAACCCAGTTAAGCTCTAGTTATTGTTTCCTTATGTGAAATAAAACAGTCAGTAGCAGGGAAACGCTTGGTAGAGCTCCCTCCTGAAACTACTCATAAGCCTGGTGAAGCACACATGTTCTAAGAAGTCGTATGGGATGCCATGTCCCAAGCAGTCAAGTGAACCATGGTCTCCACGCTCAGGTGTTCTCCTACCAGCAACTTTGTGTATATATCCCCTTCTCTTCACTTTTTTTTTTTATTTAAGTTGCGCAGACAGACCTCAAAAGACCATATTACATGGAAAAAAAAGGTGTCCTAAATTCAACAGAAAAAATATTTTAAATTCACTGGAATGCAAACTAACTTTTTCTTAGTATTTTTTACTCTTGGGTGCTGGGGCATAAAATTAAATTACAATTTAAAAAAACAGAGACATGAAGAACTAGAATTAAAAAATTAGTTAGCTAGTGGAACAATAGGGATGATGAAAATATGGTAGTAAAAATGAGGGAGGTTCAGGCCACATAAAATAGGCCAAAAAAAAAATAATACAGAAAGCAAAATGCATTGATGCTAGCCTAATTAGATTGAAGGACAGACATCACAAGAGCTTCTCCAGAGATGTAAGAGAATCCATAGGGAGTATAAAGGCTGGAGAAAAAAATCTAGAGATCCTCCACTTACAGAGGATATTTCCTATATACAACATATTCTGTAGAAGGTACACTCATTATCCCAAAGAAGAATCAAATAAGTATAAATGTTTTCATGCTTGTGGCTAGACAATTATAGTAAAACCAAACTAGACAGGACTATTTATTAAGAGTGGTAACCGCATTTGTTTTAAATACAGACTTGCAAACAAACCTGAAATGCTTAAATCTCTTTTTCAATTTATTACTTTAGTGTCATTCCCTACTGTTCTTAGAACACAGCTGCCTGTTGATTATATCTAATAGGACTAATGAAGGGGAAAGGGGACTCTTTTTACTTCTAATTCTAGTTGGAATCCAGACTAAAATTTTTCAACATTCTCCAAAAAGAAATGCTAGTCTGTAAAAGCCTTCCTCTTAGTTCACTGACAATTAAGACTTGATTAGTACCAAGTTTCTAAAATGCTAATTTAATTTGAAGCACTGAAAACACACCCAAAACACTAGGTTAAAAAAAACCAAACAGAACTCCAACAATAAACAATAAAGAATAAGGTAAGGGACAGAAGGGGAAATATTTCCAGTATTAACTTTGTCTTGTTTTAGTACAAGATGGAATAGTTATACAAATGAGAGACTCAATCCCCGTATAAACATCTTTGTCCCCTGAAAAATTGCTTGAGGAAATCACATTTCTCAAACGTTAATGTCACATTGCCTGAGTTTTAACAGATTAACAATGCTTTGACTCAACAGTTAAGTGACCTGACTAAAGTCACAGAGTCCATAAAAGTGAAGACCAGGTGCCATGGTTTGGACCAGTCCCACGACCATGCTTCAACTATGCTAAGAGAGTAAGAGAAGGACAAACAGAAACTGAAAATACTTTATTCACATTAAGTTGTTTCTCTCACGTCTTTCAGACAGTGAAAGAAGAGTTTTAGATCCTAGGAGGTCCCTTCTGCACATCTTTTAAAACTGCTACAGGAGCCAAGCACAGAATTTAAAATACACTATGAATGATTTTTAGATTCTGCCTGGCCTTATGATCAAAAAGAGGATTTCCTGAACCTCTCCTTTCTCAAAGATTTTTTTCCTAGAAACAGAATGACCTCTCTGTTAAAAGCAAAAAGTTCCTTCCAGTAACAAAGCATCCACCCAGCAGGCAGACTAGTTTGCTCCTGACACCAAGGTACCTCTGTACCTGGCAGGAGGATTAGTTGTAAGAAGTACAAAACATTCAGCCAGCAATTTATTATTCATACTTAAGATAGCAGTTGTGATGTGTCTATAAAACAATCACATAAAACATTACAATAGGGCAATAACAAGTGAATAACTAACATTCACTAATTCTTAATCTTAAAACTGTCTTACAAAAAAGATTTTTTATTAGCATTTCAATATGAAAACAATTTTGTTTATACATAAACAGATAGCATTTTAGAGTAAAAACAAATGGAAATGTAGATGAAAAAGATACTTTTCTAACAACAATAATTAAGAAATCGTACCTTGCTAACGCAGCAATATTTCCCAGGGTGTAAAACAACGCAAAAAGTTTGATCCCATTTGGGAGCCATAGCAATGCTGTTCCCTATAAAATAAAAGATAGGTTATTTGTATGTTTTTAATTAGTTAATTCAATTTATTTAGATTTTACAGTCGATGAATATATTTTCAGGCTATGAGGACTATCATTCCAACATACAGCAGCAGAGTACAGTGTTCTCAGACCCGTAGCAGTCAATACTCACAATACTTCTATTGCCACCTGGTGGCAAAATAATGTATTGATTTACTATATTTCACCATATTTTCTACAACTCAGCAATGCTTATTTATATCGCCTATAACATTTATTTGTACTGTTTATATTCTATAGGCAGAAAGATTAAGTACTAAAAAAAAAATAGCAGGAAAAAAAAGTGATGCTAGCCTGTCCAGAAATAGGTGTTAAAGCACAAACCTGGTATGCACTAAAATTTGTGATTATATTCGTTAAATATTACTTGTGGAAAAAAATGAAGGGAGAGAAATTCAACCAAATAATGCTTAAGCAACCCTAAGAAACGGATATTCCAACCCAACCTAGAGCTCCCTCCCTAGAACTTGCCCCTTCTCTAACACAAGCATCTGGCCAGAGTTTGTATCACTGTACTCGCTATAGATATCAATACGAAGAACACCACTCTCCAGTTCCTTTATTGAACTAATTACTACTTAAATAAGACCTTTCATAGGTAAGACAAGCAACTGTTCTGGTTTATCTCAGAGTCTGAGGGAGTCTAGCAAACCACAAGTTTTGAAAAAAGAATGAGAAGCTTCCACCTGCAGGAGAATCTAGCAAGTCCTGATCTCTAAGCGAGTGCCTTAAGCAACAGGTTGCTCCTGCACAGCTGCTTCCTCCTGTCATTACGTAAGCCTTCCTGCTTTAAAAGCTTTTCATGGTAAATGAAAGAGAAACAGCAGTCATTTCAATAATGGCAAAACCAGAAACTAATGCACACAGGACAAGTTTCTCTATCCTACCCCCAGAATGCATTACAAGTCAAGGCAATCTGCCTGACAGCCTCCACAAAACCTGCAAATATCACCCATACACATTAGCCAAAGGCTGCTGCCTGGTTTACATCAAAAGTCACGCTCTGTGAAGAATCAACATCATACTTCGTAATGAAAAAAAAAAGGAAGGAGAAAAAAAAAAAAAGGAAAGAAAGAAAAAACACAAACCCAGGAGTCTGGATACTTTCCCAATGTTATTTCCCCTGCTCCTGAGACTTTCCATGCAGATGAACTGTGAGTGACCTGTGTCAATTTTTGATAGACCCAATAAATTCATAGTTCTCAACTTCTAACTGCAGGCTTGAGTCTCCTGCCAATACCTCAAGTTCAACAATGAACAAATGATTTGCTGACCACAGGAGTGCAGCAGGTTTTTCAAGTGCCAACATGCTACCACAGTCATCACCTATTGATTTGTGAGTGGGACAGGTTACACTTGTGGTTTCTTCAGCCTTTAAAAACTTGTAAAGCTTCCCTCTCTTTTATCCCTTTCATTGGAGAGAAAAAAGATGGGTACACACTGAACAACAGCAAAATCTCTTTCCTAGTACAGCATATTTTTTCATTGTTCAAAGCTTTTAGTAAGAAATTTTATTACGCTGTAATAAAAACGCTCTACTGTGAATGGCAGAAAGATGGTCAAAATCGTAATTTACAGAACAATAGCCCCTACATTATACATTTAATGTCCAGTTAAACTTATTAATATAAAATTTAGGATACATGACTAAAACAAACAAAGAATCACTTTACTTACAAGAATAGAACACACAATGCCAGCAACAAAACATATGGCAAACCATCTCACTCGAGTACCAAAGCTGAGTGTTGAGGCATCAAGGACCTTAATAGAAGGAGAGGGGAAAAAAAAGGGACATTAGAAACCCAGTTTTGAACAACCTAAAGGACAATTTTCCTTTACTACTGAAGTCCTTAATTTCAAATAAAATAATTTTTTAACCAGAATCTATTATTTTACCTTGCTTAACAGTTGCTTGCATATTGGTTATTTCAGTTTAATAAATTTTATTAGCTGTTTGGAAACATATTTCCAAAACAAACAAACAAAAAAGACAAAACCTGTGAAGGTACATCCTGGCACTCAAGCAACACTGATCCACTTTCAAACAGACTTTCTTCTCACCATACAATTACAATTGAAAATTCTCAGAAGAACGAACAGACCTTCTAGCAATTTGCAGATGAACATATCTATTTGTGCAGCACTCTATGTTCCTATAGATATTGCTGCCTTTTCCTGTTACTAGACAGAACCCTTGGTATATATTAGTACAAGTATCCACTGCAATCAGTATGATTCCACTTCAATTACTGTTCCATACAGGGTGAAGGTGTAGGCAGATGAACACAACTTGTCTCCTCAGACAGGTAACTTGCTGAAAGAGCTAATGTTGCTTTCTCCAGAATAGCTTCTCCAGGGTGAATCCAGAACCGGAAAGACCCTTTAATGAGCTGACACAACTCACAAAGTGGGAAAAGAACTAGTGTTCCTTCTATTCTGATGACTTAGCCCTGTGCTAGACGAATGAGCTAAACCAGTTCAACAAGAGGTTAGAAAAGCAGCAGGGCTGATATAAGGGAAGAGGCACAGCCACAGAGCTGGCAGATAAGCCCCTCTCAGTAGGAGTGACTAGTTAGATATGCTCAGCTCATCTTCTCCGCTCATGCTGTAAGAACAATGTACTTGAGTTTACTCCAGGTCACTAAAATCAAACATACTTTCTATTTTAAACTGCTCTATTAAGTGAAGTGTTGCTTCAGCTTATGTAAGATGACTATAAAAAGCTAACTTTCCTATTTGCTCAGATGACAAGCAAATCTGCCCTCTTGAAAATATCTGTAGGCTAGATAACAATCAAGTATTATTAACCAAATATACAAGCTAGGGATTCTCCAACCAATGAGTTTCCTTTGGGAAATTTCTCTTTCAGGCAGTGGTGAGTGAGTGAATGGAATTTGGTTACTGATTAGAATGATTTCACATCTGTACAAATGAAGAACCCGTGTCTAATTTAATAAAAAAGGGCCACATAAAAGTACACATTTCTGTGCTGTGATGAATCAGCATCTGAATGTACGTCAACAAGGAATAGCTTGAATTATTTCCTACTTATAAAAAAATTACTAACCTTATTTAATCAAATGGAATATTTACTTAAGAAATAAGAAAAATAATCTTTCACACTTGCATACTGTCTGAACAGACACAGAGCTGGGATTCATTATTGTCCTGAATTTTCTTTCCCCTTCTCTGTGTTCAGCAGTTATGACAGAACTTCCAAAGGTCAGAAGATGCAGCTTACCTTGTTAGGTCCGACTCTTTATCCTTATGTATGCATTAAAGAAATAAACAAAAAACAGTAACTATAAGATGGTTTAGTAATTGAACTCATATTTGATAGTCATATTCCTGAATGCCTATATGTGTAAGAAGTGCAAGAAGAGCTGGTAGGATGTGACTGAAAATACTCATTTGAATCATGCTTTTAATTACATCTATTCATGCAACTAATCACACACACACAGAGGAAAAAAAAAAGAAGAAAAAAGTAAAAATCCTTTCCATCTCTGCTCAGAAATAAAGCTTGGATGGACCAATACTCTCAGTTCATCCAATGCACATGTTTCAGATTGTCTAGAAAACAGGGAAAAGATGAAGGTATCAGGCACATTGCTGCCATTTACTGCTATTCTACCTCAACTCTTAATATCTGATGATGTTCACTACCAGGAAATTTCATTTTTCATATACATTTAAAAATAGCTTAATCTTCATTTAAATCCCTAAAAGTTATTAGGTTGAAAAATACCAACACCATAAGTGAACCACACAAAGGCTTTGAACAATAAATGCCACAAAAATTTAAATATGATTTTATGAGTAGTTTAATACATTTTGTGGATTTAATTCTTAAAAACTTAGATTGACAATAGATGCACGTGAAGTGCAAGAAGACAAGCTGTGGCATGAAGGCTGCCAGACCACTACAACGTAGCATTCTTTCTAATAATAAAACTAAATAAATTAATTGGCATTAAAATGAAGGTTGATCCTCCAACCATTCCTGATGCCATCGCCATTTATGTTATCAAGCTGAACCTAGTTAATGCAACGTTTGAAATCCTGAAACTGGAGGTCTGGTAATCTTCTTAGTCCCTGATACCTAATACTTTTTAGGTTTCATGGAAGCAAGGGTGCTAGGTAATTTTCTGAGATGTCTGATTCACCCCTGTACTGAAGCACCTTGCTGCAGAAGTTGAGTAACAGGTACATAGTTCAACGACTTAAACTACAGACTGCAGGTTGTGCTAAAATGCCAGGCTACGAGCTGTAAAAGTTGAGGACCTGACACAGCACCTGCCTGTTCTGTCACGTCTGCTGCAGGAGCAGTGATTTCTGTAAGAGGAGCTGTGAGACACCCTCAAGTAACAGCTCAGAGACCATGAACCAGAACCCTAAGAAAAGGTTAGTAAGTTAATAAGTCTAAACTGCCTACACAACAAATGCAACAAACAACGTGAGGCTGATTAGGATGTCTTCTGTTGTCTGACATAAACCACACAGCTAATCCTAGTTTTCAGACAAAGAGAGTTTGCATTACACTCTACAATATTTGCATTGGCAGGAGATTTTACTTAGAAGACTGCAAAAATTGCCATGCAAATTCCACATCTGAAGAAAGATTTATATGGAGAACTGTGAATTAGTGACAACAAGAGAGTTCCTGTAAAGCATACTCTTCTTGCTATACTGCTTATCAGCTTGTTTCTAAGCAATAAAAAGAAAACTGAAACAGAAATCAACAAATTGAAACCCTCAGTTTTCTATAGCTAAGCTTTAACACCAAAGTCCTGGGCAAAAAGCAAAGATTTTTATTCACAGGATATTCCAAGAAAATATTACATCAAATAATTGCCCAAGACATCCAGAAATCAAGAGGAAACCCCAAGTGGAAACTGGAATCGGGAAGCAGACTTCCTGAAACATAAGGATCGGCCTTGCAATAGTCTAATACACAAGTTGCAAGAGACAGATAACACTGTCTTTACTGAATAGCTTGCTATGGACACCCAATAAATCATAATACATGAATAATAATCTCCAAGGCTGCCTTTGTTCAAAACCATTAACTGTAGTTTTGAACATCCACCTAGGCTCCCCCCATATGTTAATTATCTTATAAAAGTTTTCCATGTTGGCAAATAAATAGAAGCACTTTCTTTTATGGGCTTTAAGAAAGATTCTAGAAATTAGCAACTGTATCTTTTCTTGGTAGTAAATTTAAGAATATGCAAGTAATGGAGAAAATTCAGTTTCAAAGAAATGTTGAGTACATCTGCAGAACTGAGTTCTTCAGCAATATTTAAAAAGATATTTTTTAGAGATATATTGTCATCTTTCCCTAACTGGCCTCCTCATAAGTATTTCTATCAACACCTTAGAGTAAAATATGAGCAATTTAAATACCTGTTCTACTCCTCCTTGCTAAAATCTTGTTGAATGCTTTAAGCAGTTGTCACTCTGCAACTATCACAAAACTACTGCCAGAAAACAAGCCACTGTGTCAAATGGACTGATTTTATATCAGCTTTGGTGTTGATAAAACTAAGCAGCATAAGGCTGCCCTGACAACACGATGAAACCACTGCCAGAAAACAAGTTAGTGTGTCAAACTGAGTGATTTTATATTCGTTTTGGTGTTAATAAAAAACATAATGCTGCCCTGACAACGTCACTACATTGGTATATTTGCAATTTATTATTGATTTTTTAATAATTCCCTTTATTTTTTTTAATATTTAGAATAATTGGTCAAATTGCAGCAAGAGGCTGCAATCATCTGAAATCAATCATCTGTTGGTCATCTGAAGAGTTTAGAAAGTACTCCATTGAATCATTACACAATTGTCTCACTATATACATTTCTTCCAATTTACTTAACAGGAATTACTTCTGACTTCATGGTAATGGTTCTGCAAAAATCAAGGAGCAGAATACAGAGACATCTATGAACATAAACCATATGATGGCTATTACACAACTATCAGCTATTCCAAAGAGAGGGCCATTGTTTTTAACCGAACACATGACTCTGTTCCAGAAAGGTCATCTAAAACAGTTGAAGATTTTTACACATAAAATGCATAGCCATATTTTTTCTTTCACAACCTTACCTCTTTAGAAGTGTCCTTCTCTGCGTGGGTGCACATACTTTTTTGCTCTATTACACACACTTTAAAAATAGTCAACATCATTCAGCTGTAAAGCTATAGCTCTAGTTAATATCACATAGGAATTTCCTCACTAAAAGAAGCCTGATTTACTACTTTGAGAGAAACCTACAACAGGGGCATTGCCTAACCTAAACACTTGAATTTTTCTTCAGTGGATATTTATTTACATTAAAGAAGATCTTTCTGGTTCATCTTCTGAGCATGAATCTCCTTTGCACTATGCCAAAGGCATACTGCTATGTTTTCTTTTATCCTGTACTGGCTAAGTCTTACATGTGAGCAGATTTTTCCTATTTAAAGGCTTTTCTGTCTACCACAACATCACTACATGCAATAATCAAATCCTACATAGCTTAGTTTCTGACATTTAGCAAACAACACATTCTTAGCTCAGTTCCCTCCTTTTCAGGATACACACCTCAAATATAAAATTATTAAATACTCAGGCATGTATCTATTGATTTGTGCCTTAAAACAAACATCACAGCATCAAGTAAAGGACACCTCTGTGTCACTATCATATGTCTCATACGAAATGTGCCTGGGGATGGCAGATTAATTAATCCTCTTAGATTTGAACTAAGATCACCAGGAATGTAAGTATTTCTTTGATAATCATGTGATAAGACCAGAAGGTGAAGCATCCTTCCTAAGTGCTGGCAGCCAGCTCTGGTATGAAAGGGCACAGACACTGCACTGCTTCCAGAATCAGTCAGGTGTGGATACAATTTAGCTGCTTTACTGTGGCTAAGAGGGCAAGTTCATTAACCTTGAAGACCAGCAGCAACCCAGTGCAAAGACAAGTGAAGCATGCCAGCAGCAAGCTGCTGGAACTAATATTATGCCACAGATACCAACTATACTGAGGTTACGCTGGTGCAGCATGGTTTATCAGCTGGAGCTCAGATTCGGGCTGCTCTTTGTTCCCGTTTCCTCCACCATGCTCCAGCATCCTGTAGCACGCCGTATCAAGATATTCCATGATGAGGGGCACTTTGACCTGCAGTCACACCGATTAAAAGGGAGCTCACAGTACAAATCGTTCAAGTATGCTCAACTTTGCTCCAACCTAGAAATTAAGCCTCAGAAATGTATGGTAAAAAAGCCTAGCAAAAAAAAAACCCCAATCTGATGATGAGGAAGCTAGTGGGGAGGAAACAGAAAAATTAAATTGTACTTGAGCAGTATGGGGCAAAAAAAAAAGGAACCTCAGCACAACACACACAAAACTATCCCTGTCTACAGAAAGTCTTTCATAGCTTTTGTACATTCGGGAGCATAAGGAAATGAAGAAGAAATTTAGAAAGAAAACCTGTTGTTCAACTAATCAGCAAGTACCAAGGCCATGTAGGAGGAAGAGCACACACACGACACAAGACTACCCTGCCATCTCGAAGCAGGACATGGAAAATAAAACCAAAAGACTCCAAACCACCAACACAAGACAGAGCTTCTCTGCACACCGAAAACCCGCCCAAACTCTGACTCCCGGGCAGGGCCCGGTGCCCACCAACCTCCTCCTGAGGCACCCGCCGCCAGCTTTTGGCCTCTCCTTACCACCCCGGTGTCTCCGGCTTACTGACACGGGCGGGCAGGCACCGAGGGGTGCGGGAGGGATCGTGCGGGAACACCGGCGCGGGCCTGAGGCACGGAGCCTTCAGCGATCCCCCGCCGCGGCGCCGGCTCAGCCCCCCGCGGGGGATGGGGCGCGGGCCCACGAGCCGCAGCTCGGCGGCCGTTAGCCGCGACCGTGAACGGCGGCTGCCGGGCCACCGGGGCGAGGAGAGGGAAGAAGAACAGGTCCCCGCCGGGCGGTACCTGAGCTGTCAGTCCCTGCTCCTCGTCGTCCTGCCCAGTCAGCACCCGCCGCAGCTTCTCCATGCCGTCGTTCGAGCCGGGCTGTGCCTGAGGGGTCGGGACGGGCCGGTACCACACTCCCCTGCCGGGCCGCCGGCCCAACCGGAAGTGACGCGCACCCGTAGGCTTCACCCCCTGGCGGCGGCGGGGCGCCGGGCGCCTGCGCACTGCGGGGGGCAGCGGTGCGGGGCGGTGCGGCCCTCACGGGGGTGGTGGGGGGCCGCGTCCCCGGGGAGCCCCGTGTCGGGCGGGTGGGGGCGAGGTGGGGAGGAAGAAGCGCTTCCCGGCGGAATTGGCTGGTTTCGGTGCGCACGGAAACGTGATTTGCATGAGCTCGGTAGCGCGAGTGGGTGGTTAAATAAGGGGGTTTTGTGTGGGTGCAGAACGGTAACACCGTCGTTATTCACGGATTTGACAGAGTGGGAAGGGACCTCTAGAGACCATCTGGTCCAATCCCCTGCCAAAGCAGGGTTGCCCAGAGCACATCACTCAGGACGGCATCCAGGTGGGTCTTGAAGGTCTCCAGAGAAGGGGACTCCATGACCTCCCTGGGCAGCCTATGAGTTCTTCCTCATATTTGAGTGGAACTTCCTATGTTCCAGCTTGTGCCCGTTGCCCCTTGTCCTATCGCTGGAAACCACTGAAAAGAGTCCGGCTCCATCATCCTTCAACCCACCCTTTAGGAACTTGTAAACATAGATGAGGTCTCCCCTCAGCCTTCTCTTCTCCAGGCTAAAGAGCCCCAGCTCTTTGAGCCTTTCCTCATAAGGGAGGTGCTCTAATCCCTTAATCATCTTGGTTGCCCTACGCTGGACTCTCTCCAGTAGTTCGCTGTCCATTGAACTGGGGAGCCCAGAACTGGATGCATTATTCCAGTTGTGGCCTCACCAGTGCAGAGTAGAGGGGGAGAATGACCTCCCTTGACCTGCTGGCCACACTTCTCCTTATACAGCCCAGGATTCCATTGGCCCTCTTGGCGACAAGGGCACATTGCTGGCTCATGGAGACCCTGCCATCCACCAGGTCTCCCAGATCCTTCTCCTCAGTAGTGCTTTCTAGAAGATCCACCCCTAACCTATATTGGTGCCTGGGGTTCTTCCTCCCCAGGTGCAGGACATTACATTTGCCCTTGTTGACCCTCATTAGGTTCTTCTCTGCCCAGCTCTCCAGCCTGTTCAGGTCATGCTGGATGGCAGCACAGCCCTCTGGAGTGTTGGCCAGCCCTCCCAGTTTGCTATCATCTGCGAACTTGCTGAGGATACACTCTGTCCCCTCATCATTGATGAATATGTTGAACAGGACTGGGGCGAGTATTGACCCCTGGGGGCACACCACTGGTTACAGGCCTCCAACTTGACCCTGCTTCTACCACTCAAACAGCCCTTAGGGCATGATGGCGCTGCGGAGGCAAGGGGTCTGGGGCAGTGGCTAAATCACCCCCAGAGCACAAGTGTCTCCCCGCTGTCACCCCAGTTATGCCCCAGACATGGTACCGGTGGGCTGAGGATTTGGGCATCCAACTGCCACCAGTGCAAACAGCCTCAGTGCACCTTGAATTCAGGGCACCTGCTGTGCCCTGCACACCGTCTGTGTGTGAGCAAGCCAGGTGCTTTTCCAGCTGCCAATGGCTGGAGCAGTGAGAAACGGGATTAGCTGTGAAGGCCTTTTTTCATGAGTAAATGTAACACGTATATTAACGTGGAGATTCCCATTGTGACTCTTTGTTAACCTCTGCCCCTGGGAGAAGGGGGATGGTGGAGGCCGTCGCGCTGCCCTGTGTCTCGGCCTGCTCATTCCTAGCAACGCTCTAACCACTGCCTGCTGTGTTCAAACATGGCCACTCCGCATGCATCTTCCCCATCCTGCCCTGTTAGACACTGACCCTCTATACCCTTTGGGGCCATTCCTGCATCTTGACACGTGGCTCAGCTATGGGACTGGACCCAGACAAGCGCCACCGCTTTGGCCCGGGTGGTTTGTGAGGGAAACAAGGCTGGCGGCTAAGGAAAATGGATGCAGCAACGGTGGGGTGTGCCCTGCCTGCTGCTTGGCTGCAAAGTGACAGCAGGCACCGGGGTGGGGTGGGAGAGGAAGATGAGTGATAAGAGCTGTGTAACCTGCTGCTGTGTGAGTGAACCGATAAAAGCCAGGCAGCAGAGCCCTGGATGAGGCCCGTCAAGACAGAAACCTTCCCTTACCTCTCTCCCCTGACATGAGAGGCAAGCTCCCACCCTATTCCCCTCCCCACACTTCTTTTAGGAACAGTTACCCATATGCCTTGTACATTGGCTTTTGGGTGAAATACTTGGACGCAAACTATACCTTTCCAGGCTGATGACAGGCCATCGGTATCTCAGGAAGCTTTAGGTCAAGGCCAAAATTATGAATGGGAGAAACACCTGCAGACACGTCTGTGTGAAAATAGTCAAACAGCAGCAAAATGTCACTCCCTGAGCTGGGCAGCGTGCCCCATACCTTGCAATGACCTGAGCAGGGAGGAGAATGTGTATACAGGAACAACATGACCATGACAGGGGAAGAAAAATGAGAAAAGGCATCAGGGTGTGTATGTGCAACAATCATCTTCCTGGTCCCTGGCATGCCCAGAGGCCCAGCTGGTCCCATCTGGAGTTTGCTGCTCTCTGCTTGGCTTGGTGCTTTGAGAGCTTTGCAGTTGACATGGGCAGGAGGTGGTGAGCAGAGGTCCTTGGTGACCTCCTTCTCCTCAGCAGCTGTCCTAAAGGTGTCAACATGGGAGTGTCATTTGGTGGTGGCTCTGAAGAGAACTGGTTGCTGGCAGGAGCTGCTGTTCCTATACCCTCCCACCCCAAACCAAGAACTGCTTCCTGGAGGATCCTGCCAGTGACTACATTTATGGGGTCCCTCTTCTCTCCTCCCACCTCCCCAGGGCCTTCCTGTGAAGGCAAGGTAGGGAGCAGGGAAACAGCGTTGTCCCGAATGACTGCCAGCTGCCTTCCAATATGTGACCATGACCTGCTGATGGCTTCCGGAGTATTTGTATGTACAACACCATGGCTGTGTCATCAGCCCTATCCCACCATGTTCAGAGGGGGAGAGAGGACTGTGCAGCAGGTGCTCCATGCAGAGGCTGAGGGAGGCTGTGTGTAAGATGTGCAGTTAACCAGGTGCTGGGACCCTAGGGGCTGGCTCTGGGTACGTGCTCTCTGCCTTCAGTAGCTGCCAGTAGCTGCTACATACCATGGTTCCCCAGGGAATGTTTTTTTAAAGACCTAACAGTCTTTGTGGTACTGCAAGTGATCTATGTCACCTCTCTATAGCTCTGAGACCCATGCAATAAGCCTCACATGCCACTTCTTCCCCAGCTTGCCCTCCCCGTGCATCTATAGAAAGGCAGTGCCTTTTTGTTTAAGTTGGACGCTGAAGTGCTAATACCAGGAATTGCTGTGGTGGGGAGCAGGCCAGAGAGGTGTCGCTGGTTGTGCCTCCACAAAAGTCTTCTGCAAGGTCCAGGCATGGAGATCTGGCATAATGCCAGAGAGCATGTTCTCCTCTGGACTCACCCTAATGGCAGTTCCAGACTCAGAGATGTCCAAACAGGCGTTAGATCCCACCTGATGATCTGTTCAAGACCTTCGTAACAGGGGCACATCTCCTGTGCTACCTCCAATGAGCAGTTGTTTTTAAAATCACAGCTGCCTTCTTCACCTCTTTAATTTTCATTTTTGTTATTAAATTTAACTAGATGCAACCAAAAAATTAAGCCTAAAATTTAGAGAAATGTTGTGCATTGCTACAGTCCAGAGAGAGAGAGTGGCACTTTCAGGGGGCAGCTCTTCTTATCTAAGGCAGTTATTTTAGTAAGGGAGAGATTGCTTTCTGCTCTCTGTAGAGGAAGCATGGATGACTAGGTCAGACAAGACACCTAGGTTTCAGTCTGATGAATTAGGGTGATGAACCTCACCATTAACTCTTTTAATATAAATATAGGCAGGGCTAGCCTTTATATACATCTCTCACTAATTTGCATGTATCCACATCTAAATTTGAAGTTAGCTAGAAAAATCTGTGATGTTTTCCTGAAAAATGCATGAATTTAGGCAACTTGCTGAATTGATGTAGTCGGTGGCACAGTTTTAATGAACGTACAAAGACCAGTGTCTGTACCCTTCAGTCTCATAGCTCGATCAGCTGTAAACCTGTAAACCCTTATTCCACAAAAATCAGAGTTCAGTGATTGCTCTGGTCACACTTTAGGGTTCTAATGTCCCATATTCCTCCTCACCTTTGCATTCTTCACCTTTGGAAATGGCGTATTTGAAGGAATATTGCTGAAAGGTGAAAGCCAAGGGTTACAAGAGACCTACTGGGAGCATGGTAGAAAACGTAGAGCTGCTCTGGGGACTTGTCCATTCTACTTGATAAGACCCCCACCTCAGTCCTGCCGCTTGGTGCAAACATCTCACATCAAACAAAGCAGCACCTTCTGAAGCCCACTGAAAGGAAGGGAGCTTACCACTGGAGACAAATGTCCCTCATGTCTGTTGAAAAGAACATGTCCTCTTGAAAATGTGATTATGAACTTCCTTCAACAAGCCTGCATCGCTGACAACAACAGGGAATGGTGATCCAAAAACAAGGAGCAAGGAAGCAAAGGCTGGAAAATGCATCCCCTTTCTTATGCCTCAGTTCAGGAAACCCATTACTTCTAATTTCTCTGACACTTCCCACTCAAAGTCACAGGCCTCTTCAGCAGAGCACACGCTTGGCAACTTGATTACAGCTTCACGGTCATTGTTTCTGCTGTGACTCAAACCTTTCCAGATCCAGTCATCGCTTCTTTAGTGTCACGAAGTGATCTCACTCCTAGATCTCTGATGTAGGGAGCTGAGGCACGCAAAAACCAACTGCAGACTGAAGAGCTGCTTCCTGGAGTGCTTGGCAGGCACCTAGTCACTAGGTGTGTTTGGGGTTCACAGTAACACCAGGAGCTACTGCAAAGCTCTGGAGGGGAAGGTAACAGCCTTTATTGGCTCATCACGGGTAACACAGCAAATGCAAGGAAGTAAGAAACAGCCTTGTGAGCTCATCTCTGTCTGTGGCATCA